CCTCACTCTGGAAGAGTAGGGCCCCAAATTCACAAGAGAGGTAGACAGAGGTCTTTTGTATTTGTTAGAGGAAGGGTTCTTTTGTATTTGTTAGAGGAAAACTGGGTGAACACTGAACTTTGATGTAGAAAACACTGAAATCTGCCATGTGGAGCCAGGCCTAAACCAGGAGGACAGGAAACCAGACAGAATTCGTGCTAAGCTGTTTCAGCCTTGGGGACTAAACTATTGCTACTAAAAGCAAAGACTCTCATTATGGGTTTTAAGATTTCTCTCACCTTATCCCACCCTTCACCCCCTACTCCCTGTCACTGCCATTCTTCCTACGCACAGAGTAAGTGCTCAATCAATAACATTGAGGGCCAGGTGTGGTGGTGTGCACCTGCAGTCCCAGCTACTCGGGACACTGAGGTGGGAGGATCACTTGAGCCCAGGAGATCAAGGCTGCAGTGAGCTGTCATCACACCACTGCACTCCAGCCCAGGCGACAGAGCAAGATCCTGTCTCAAGATAAAATAAAGTTGACCTCAAAATAAAGTTGAAAAGGTTCTCATGCTTGGTACTGACTTGCCACAGAGCAAATGGTCCAAGGCCATATTAAGAGGCCACACTGGCTCCTACCTCCAGGCAAGTCTCCTAAGTGGCTCCTCCTTCAGAAGCTAAAAGGTAAATCTGGTGAAAAGAGCAACAGCTGGCAGTCAGGGAGGCCCAAGTTTGAACTCTGCTCCACAACATACTTGCTGTTATGACTTCACAGCAAGTGACTTTATCTTTACTCACTTCCATGTCCTCTTCTTATTCCTTTGAGGGTTGCTGTAACAACTACATGAGATAAAGAATGTAAATGTGACTGATGGAAACAATTGCATGTAGTGGATGCTCAATTAATGTTAGTTCCTTTCCTTTCCCCCTTCTCTGCAAAGGCCCCAGAAACTCAGTCGGCTTTCTTTTGCTTTCCAGAGCATCTACCCATCTGTCTTTCTTAGAATTCAACTCCCTTGCAGAGTGGGTTCAGTGGGACAATCTCCCCAGCTCCCCACTTCCCCAAATAAGTACACGGGTCCTTTTCATTGAAGGGTTTTACTGCTAATCACTCTGGGGAAAACAGAGGCAGGTTGGGGAGGTTGGGGGAGGGATAACAAGTAACAAACATTGGGGAGTGTGAAGGTCCCTGGGTCATGGCTCCCTGAGGGTTTCCCTTTCATTTCTAAGGCAGGACCTCAGATCTCTTCTCCAGACCAAGGAGGCCCCTTCCATTGAGAAGGTCACTCCTCCCAGCCCAGAGATCTAGAAGCAAAGTTGGGGCACAATAGGTGGGAACTAGCAGGACACTGCAGTGCACTCCTACCTAAGCAAGTTCACAGACAATTTGGAGAACCTTCAGATAGTGACACCCATCTCATAGGTACTTCCTCAAAGGCCAGGGGACTGCTGCCTTAATGACACGAGCATGTTCTGAGCCTACCCTATTTCTCTTTCACCCCAAGAAAGTGAAGCCAAGACTGGGTCCTCTGACTTTTCAGCACGAGAAATTGGCCCGGAAAGAGGCAAGGGTTTTTACTCCAGAGTCCCTTATCAGGACTTCCTGAGATCCTGACTTCAGAGGCAATACAAAACCATTCTCCAAAGTGGGATGAAGGGCTTGAGGTCAAGGTAGCAGCAGCAGATGCTCAAGATCTTCCTCCAATAGGTTGGGGTCTCTCGCTCTCTCTCCTTCACTCTAAATGGGGCTCTCCTTCAGCTGGAATCTTTCCCAGCCTGCTCGCCCAAGTGAGTTTTCTGGTGGCGGATGAGATTCGAGCTCCGGGAGAAGTGTTTCCCGCACACAGTACACCGGTAGGGCTTCTCCCCTCTGTGGGTCCTCTGGTGAGCTCCAAAGTTGGAGATATCGCTGAAGGTCCGCCCGCACTCAGTGCACTCATAAGGTCTCTCACCTGTGTGGGTGCGGTGATGCACGCCAAAGCTGGAGCTGTTGCTGAAGCTCTTCCCACACTCACAGCAGATGTAGGGCGCTGGCTCCAGGTGGGTCCGGTGATGCACAGCTAGTGTGGCGCTCTGGCTGAAGCTCTTGCCACAGATGTCACAGCGGTATGGCCGCTTACCTAGGTGATCTTGCTGGTGTGTGGTGAGGTCTGAGCGCCGCCGAAAGCTCTCCTGACACTTGGGGCATTTGTAGTGTTTCTCTTCCAGGTGGATCCGCTCGTGCCGGATGCGGTTGGAGCTTCTCGAGAAGCTCTTGCCACATTCAGAACACTTGTAAGGCTTCTCACCAGTGTGGATCCGCTGGTGTGTTCTCAGGTTGGAGGTATTATTGAAGGTTTTGCCACACTGGGCACATATAAAGGGTTTCTCATCTGCCTCATGCCTTGGATGAGCAATGGGATCCCCTGGCTCTCGAGCCGGGACAGTGACTTTCTGCCATGGTTTTTTTGGATGAGTTTCTTGCAGTTCATCCGACAGGCTCTCTTGCCCATGCTCCTTCTCCCCAGGTGGGATCCAAGAACCCTCTGAGTCATCCACTCTCCAAGGCTTACCCCCTTCCCCTTCCTCAGGCAGGTGTGGTTCTGGACTCTGCTCCTTCTCACTGCCCATCTCTGAACCCTGAGAATGAACACAAATGGCCAACACCTTTATTCTTTGGGTTGGGCCAGATCATAGGGAATCTTTTGTTCAGTTTGAAGGGTACACACCTTCCTCATGGGACCATCCACTAGAAACAACTTCAATCAACTGGAATACTTGGATAGAACACCTTTACTTGCTACCTTTTAAGTGACAAACTTTCAGAGATATTTAAAGCTACCCACCAGAGCAAAAAGAAGGCACCGGCTTTGTCCACCACCACCAGATGATATTGGTGCCATTTGAATAATGTCACTCTTCTTGATACCACTAAGCAACGACAATCCAGACTATAATTCATGGGCAAGTAAAAGAGCTTTCATTTTGGGATAAGTGCAATTTTTCTGCCTAACTGTAAGTTAACTGTAACTCTTTTTATGTTTAATCCTTTTTGAAAAGCCTTCCTTACAAGTATCCATCTATTTGCCAGATTTCAAAATGAACAAAACAAAACCTCTAAATCTTGAGGCTCTCCTAGGTGACAAGGCCCAGC